GTAGAATTCTGTTGCTAATTGTGGTAATGATGATTAACGATTATCCTGTAGGATTAGTTTGGGTTGGTGTACGATGGTGGCTAAAGCAGAAAGGCCTATTCGAAGACAACAAAATCGTCAATGTAGGTAAATGACCAATTAATATTCCGTGCGGTGCTTTTGGACTTTTGGACTTTCGACTTTCGGAGTTCTAAATTCGTTTTGTGGATTTCCATACTCGGGTTTACCGAATTTTCAAACCTTGTCCGGATTAACATCATTTATTACGCAAAGCGGCAAATTTATTTTTAGTTTCACCTTCATAAATATCACGTTATCAAACAAAATCAACATTTACATTCATTTAGCTTGTAGTTTGGTCTGTAGGTTTTTATGTTGATGGCAATATTCGAAGCCATACAATATTCCAAAAGTAGCTAGCAGCGCTAGGGAATGCCGAGGCGGATAAGCCCAGTAATGGAACAAGACATGATACAAGACATTTCAGTTTCTTCGTAGGGGGATTACGATAGACAAGTACGTGCCGGGAATCATTGGGGCAGCAAAACGCGATTCCCGAGAGAATCTCAAGTCGCGCCTGCTTCTTCTTCTCTTCGCACATGCACGCCGGGAGTCGTGAGGTCTCGCCAGGCCCCGGAGGGCCACTCACAATCGTACAACAACTCTACCAATCCGAATTCCAAAAAGTCACTCGGAAAGATAACTATTACTGAAATAAACGCTTGAAACAAAAAAATAAAACATTTTAAGCTTGTAATTACCTCATAGTCATAGACACAGAATCTTGATCATGTTTCGTCATTGGATGCGCTTGTAATACACCATCATTAGCAGCAAATTGACATAAACTGGAACATAGAACATCAAGGCACAGATATCACATTGATTACAGGATAATTTGAATGTAAGCAAGATCATTTAAGTCTCCAGTAATGACTGACTAGGATATTCAGGAAATCCTCATTATAACTTTTTTTCTCAGTTTTAAAATTTAATATTCCGAACGTGAAACGCAGAGAAATTCTATTTATAAACTCAGCAATCTTATATTGCACAAAGTTGTACCCCATTGATAAACACGCGTACATGCACACTCAAACGCGATGCTTTTGACAATTCATCTCTCATTAATTAGTCACGCTCGGCATACACTTGTCGAATGAATGGAAACCGAGCCGAACAATGCGAACCTCGTATTTACATTGCACCTGCATTTTCCAACGCCGAGTCTAACTCAACAACATTTTTGTTCTACTTGACAAGCAAACATGGTAAATGGGGAAATTTGCTTCAATGCGATTTCGGCTTTTGAACATGATAACGCTGAAAATAATACTTCAATCAATATTTCACATTCAAAAGAAGCAACTGAAAATGAAAAGACAATGAAGCTTTTATTGAACATTAAGTGGGTGGTTGGAATAATCAGCAATGAATTGCAAATCAGTTCTTGAGTGATTGATCGTTTCAGCATTTTTTACTGTCTGACTTGTTTTGTTAGAGTATTAAATGCGCAGATAATACATGTTTAAGATTTACGTGAAATATCCGTAATGTAGCAGCAGGTAAGCGTAGAATAGTTGTGGTAGTGGCAGCGCTGCCGGAAGCGCATTGTTTCCCGACGCAAGTAAATACCTGCTGTGAATTTACGTTATTTGTTTGTTTGCCGCGTGCTGCATGCGCAAAACGCTGAACTTTTGCGATGCGAGCAGAAAATCAAAGCACAACAATTTCCCCCCGATGTTGAATCTAAACAATGAACAAATGTCGGAAATATACTTAACGACTAAGATAAATAAAACTCTTATAGTTCCATTTTTGTTTCAAGTTATTTAATATGGAACTTCATGTTCATGTTGTGCAACTGAGAATGCTTGTCAAATGCTAGATCGAGAAAGGCATTAGGAACGCATAAATTTTTATAGCACCATTTTCGCACTTTGGCGCACATCCTGAATATCAACAACCGACGATTACGATTTTTCTCGCGCGGCAAATAAACGCAGCGCACGCGTGCTGATTGAGTGATGTTAGTTTTTGCGATGTGTCGCATTTATCGCTGTTAGAAAGCGTGCATCTCGACGTTTCCAAGCACTTGTTTATACCGTTGTGATCGAGATGTGATCGTGCGCCAGCAGGACGTCGCAGGACATCAAAACAAGCGACACGAGGCCGAAATAGGATATGGGCACATTTGGGAATCTAGGTTGTGTAGGCCGAACTATTTCTGATTCCAATACGAATGAAAATACTCGACGATAAAACCCTAACACAATAGTTCTTTCGATTTACGTTTAGGTTGAACTATTTTTCAAAATCCATGTTTTTTGATTGCATTTGTTCGCTTTGAAACAGTCAGTGTTGATAATAACTTTATAATGCAAGGGGTCTATTACCATAGGACCCGAACGCGTAATTATTGCGAATGAGCTCAAAATTTCACATAACGACGCATGCACCCGTTTGTTGATGATGGTGGTGGTAGTGGTGGTGGTGATGTTGCTTGCCGAATAACGCAATTCGGCGATGTTCATCTCGCGCATTTGATAAAGCAATAAACGCTCGACGGACGAGGTACGCCTCGCATGCAAGTGAACCATGCACACGAGCATCCCAGTTAGTTATATGCTGATGTTTATGGGGCAGATTGGTTTAATGTCGCGTGTGTGCTAGGACATTCTAGCTATGCTTTCGTATTCATCTGCTAGTTTATTGATGTTGAGTAATAGGTATGTAACATAAAAAAATATTTATTTGCGGTTTGAGGTACTTGAAAAATTGTGTAAAATATATTTTTTGATTTAAAGTTTTAAATTGATTATTGGCTCATCCTTTAACAATTGAAACAATACCCTGTCAATAAACATCATATGCACTCGAGAGGAGCAGCTCTATGACGTTATAGTCGTGATGAAATCATGCAGGCACAAAGTTGGTTGCAATTTCGATAATTTCACACCCAGCGTATCGGATATTTCGCAATTTTGAACAGTTTGTGTCGGCGCCCGATAAACGCGTCGCAGCGGATGCGAACAATGCGCGAACGCGTTTTAATCCTGTTCACCCGCCATCGCTATTTTCGCATGCAACAACACTGCACACACGCCCTTTAACCGTGCGACCCTATAAAACGCAGCCAAACTAAATTATACACGAGCTGAGAGTGTAGAAGAAACAATACATTGTCGAAATTTGCCCGGCTTTATTCTCGGCGCGTTCAATTTGCGCCTGGATTCACATAATGAGCCCAACTGCTCCCATCGGTTATACCTACTAATACATGGCGTTTATATTAAAATCAACATCTATTTAAAATCGGGTATCAATCAATTATAAGGTACTAGCTTTAACCCTTGGCTTCGCTCGCGAATATCTAAAATAATGAAGTTGCTTCCGTACGCGTCTGTAGTCACAGAAGAAGTAACAATGAAGTAGAATGGCGGGAAGTTTAAAATGGCTGAAAGTATAGTCTATGGAAGTATAGTGTACAGTCTCCATAGTGTAGTCAATTGGATTGGATGTTGACGTAGCTGTCGGTAATACAGTGTGATAATACAGTGTGATGGTACTATAGTACTTAGGTTTGAGCTTCATTGCTGGAATGTTAGATGGCGTTAAAGTAGTCAAATAGCCAGATGCAGAGGTATTATTGGCAAAACAATTTCTTAATTCTATTACAAAAATAATTTTTTTTATAAAATAAAAAGTAGCCTATAACCATTCGGGGACCACTAAGAATATGTGTACAAATTTTCATGATGATCGGTTAAGTAGTTTTTGCGTGAAAGTGTAACAAACATCAGGACTTTTGCATTTATAATATTAGTAGGGATTAACACGGATTGAACTCTTTTATAATACCGCGTTGTAAATGTTTGCGAGTGAGAAAAGTTGATCTTGAAGTATGTTGAGGTCTTAATGCAAATTGCTTGCTGCGGCGGCGTTGCACGTGTGTAAGTGAAATCGGTAAATTGATAAATGCACTTCGTCGTGCCACCGCATTTCGGCATTAGTTTTCGGAGCAGTTGCTGCATGCGAACGTGTGTAAGAGGTTCTGCGTGTGCATGCACGATGGTAAATTTCGGAACTTCAACGGTTGTGAATGTGATCGTAGGTTTGGTGGGCATGTGTGTGCGAGTTGAACGCGTGGGTTTGCATTCGGTGGGACCGCGGGCGAGCGAAGATGGCGGCGAGGCTGGGAATGTTTAATGCCGTGGCACGGAAAACGTTAAGGAACATTAATCGCTCCATGATACGGACGGATTTTTATGTTGGGCGATAACTTATGGGAGCTGCTCTTCTCTGCTAGCACCCGGAAAGCCTTCACGTGGATGTATGCAGAATATACACAATGTGTTCATCTATAACCTCACTTTTATCGATATTATTCACCACAACTAAATTATAACTACTAAAAATCAAATTTAATCATTTTAATAAACTTATGACAAACTTTTTAGTTATTTTTGTAATATTTTGATTAAATTTGTTTGATTTAATTGTAATTGAACACATGGTATATAAAAATGTAAGCTTTCCAGTCATAAACTTACGGAAAATGACAAAATATAGCATAATGGAATGACATCGTCTACCTAAATGACCGCATCAGGTCGACGTATTTTTCAAAAACTATTTCGTTACTCACACTCGCCTTTGAGGAATATGGCTGGTTGCAGAACCCTAGGTGGCACACTCCTCATACATAAGCGTTTCACTTTATTCTGCATGAGTTATATTTTACTTTAGCTCTCTAAATTGCCCAGGTACATCAAAACGCAAAAAATGTGAACTGACTTTAAATGAATTCGCTTTAATTTATATTTTTCAGTGCAACATTGCGCTGAAAATAAAATCAAGGATACAAAAAATTAAATCTATTAATTATTTGCGAGAAATAAAAATTTATCACAATATAATTACATTTTAATAGCAAATATTATGCCGTGCAAACACTCTTGCTAATTAGGAGCGAGTTACAATAAATTACCGTCACGAGAGCTAAGTTAATAACTACACTTTCGTTCCTCGCTGACACACCAATATATAAATGATGAAAATATATTGATTAGTTTAGTTTGTGCCAAGTTTTCAATTAGGACTGCAAAAAAACAGGTTTAAAATGAAACTAGCTGTCGTGTTGTATCTTTTTGTCGTGAGTTACTTTATAATTTAATCAAAATTACTTAAATATTATTATTTTGTAAAAATTTAAAAGGTGTGTGGATATGTGGCAGCATCAAAAGACGAATGCTTGTTCAACAACTTCAAGGTGCTATTCTCCCGACCTAAACAGCAATTCGTCTATGATATAATGGACATGACAAAAGGCAAAGACGGTTCCAATGCTCGCAGCAAGGCGTTGCAGATTGACGGTCATGGAGATAATGTGTTAGATGACTGGAACAATTGCAAAAAATGTCCGGTGGCACCATGCCGTGCTCCATTCCTGACCAAAATCACAGCTGGTAGCAATGACATGACCAGAATGCTCAATGAATTTGTCACGATTGTTAAAAAAGAACAGGATGAGAAAATGTTTAAGAGAGCTAAGAAGGTAGTGGATCAGGCTCTGGAAGACAACAAGAAGGCATTAAATTGTTGATGATTTGTATAATAATGTTTCTTTTTAAATACATGCACTAAATATAGCCAATCTTGATTGCACAAGCAGGTGCTTCAAAGATGTTTATTTAAAATATTATTCTCCTTCATTGAGTGATAATTCGACCGTGTGAGATCAATCATTCTAAGATAGTTTGTGAAGCGTGTGCATTTTGTGTTGAGCCGAATCTGTTGAATTAAATTCCTCGTCTTGGAAATCGATTAACGAAATTTCAGAATTACGCAGTTTGATTGGAGTGCGAAAGCGCATTTCGGCAATTATACTCATACTGTCTATGTCTATGAGGGTTCCTGGTTCTCTACGCGTGCGTCTGCTTGTTAGACGTTGCGTAAAGCGAAACCAACGAAGGACTAACAGCCGAAGGCGGGACGGGGCCCAGTTGGCGTTTACATTGAGATTTTGTCCAAAGCATACTGAAGCATATAGTGAAAGCGAACTGTAAACTGAGGAAACCTACAGAAGAGAATGGTCGCAGCGTGCTTGCGGCTGTTTGCAATTACCAAAGCGTTAATGGCGCCGTATGTCTCCATTCCCATACGGTTTTCATTCGATGCGGACCAGGCGTGAGGGCAAACAGTTTAACTAAGCATCTACTCGTAGTCAACCCTGGATCTATCTATTTCCTTAGTCTTTGCCTCTTCAGCTACATTCTCCACTTTATATTTAAAAATATTTAATAAGCACGCTTGAGTGACATTGTAATGCGGTTCGTAAATATAAAAGAAAGAAATCTCAACCGGAAATTAAATAATTTCCGTGATCAAAACCTGCGAGCGTGTTATCAGTTTTACGATTGGGCATCAAATCGTTCTTGCGTTCTTGGCGGCCATATTTTACTACGTCTCTGTTGTCATTGGATACACTCTGGATTTTGCCTGACAAACAGGAAGTCATAAAAACGCAAGAAAGTAAGCAGGTCAACAAAGTGGCATTATGTAGACTGGTACATTTAATACAATTATTGAAATTTTTGAAATTTTTTTAAATTTTTGGTTAGAAAATTTTATTAGAGTTTGTAGATGGATTAGAAGTTATGCGCTACATTTTCAATAACTTTCAATAAGTGAAGAACTAGAAGTTGTTCCTACTTTTGTTGCGAGCTTTTAAGCTTTTCAATATTCTCTACAAGTCAAAGCAAGACTTTACAATAATGGCGTTCGATGAAACTTTTTCTGAATAAATTCTGGAACTTACTTCCAACTTTTTCTTTAGGTAGGTATACGTAGGTATACCTTTTCTGAGTTAATTAACATATTAAATATAAGATATAAGATGATATTTATTACTCATAATTATTTACTATTCCAAAGGGTTAAGCGGTACGTCAGTCTCTTCTATTTTAACAGGAGTTGTGTCTGCAATAGAAGGTTTTTCAGTAGGAGGTGGTGATATTGTGGTTGACTCTGTAGAAGAAGAAGAAGATGGGTCTTCAGTAGTAGAAGGAATAGTAGTAGGAGTAGTAGGTGTTTCTGTTGAAGGTGTACTTTCTGTAGTAGGTGTTGGCGTTGATTCAGTCGTAGGTGGTGTTATGGTAGAAGTTGTAGTTGTAGATATTGTAGTCTCGGTTGTAGGACTTTTAGTTGTAGATTCCGTAGATGTTGGTACCGTAGTTGTTGACACCGTAGTTGTAGTTGTAGGAAGCGAAGGTGTCGTTGGCGTCTCAGTTGTAGTAGGCGCGATTTCTATAAATAAATTACTTAATATTATAAGAGTAATAACAACATTCCTGGATAGGTGATAGCAGATTAGATAATAATTTTTAATATTACTGGCAGCATTGCTGTGAAATTATTAGAATTACCTGGGTGACTTTGGTTCATTATAATAATGAACAAAATCCCAACCAACAGAGACAAGGTACCAATGGCCCAACCCATGGCTTTCTCTCGGCCTGACCATGTTGAACAACATCTTCTATAACTAAAATTGAATTAATTTCTACTTAAAAATTTATTAATTTAAATTGATAAGACTTACCGTGATAAATTGTCCTGGTCATCAATAGGCACATAGGTAACATCCGGCATTGTGGCAACTTAGAGTTTTTTCTCACAGCGAAAATATTAACGTAAAAAACCTGTTTGCCGATCCAAGGTTAAAGCGCAACTGCTAATAATGTGTGATTATATTGATAAGCACTAAATCAATATATTTATCTACGATGCTTATTGACTAGTCTATAGATAACAAAATTCTGTTTAATTTTAAACTTTGTTTCATTATTTGACAGTAATACAAATACGATTTTTAGGATGTAACAGTCGTAACCCCAAGGCAAATGTTGTACAAACGCCTACAGCGTAAGCGACGTACGTCTTTTAATTATTTACGAAGTCGGATTTATCGCCGCGCATTAATCCACTTACGCCCGTACAGGCGGCAAAACGTGCACTCGTTCTCCTCGAATTGGCAGCTTTATCAGGAAAAATTTATGTCGGCCAGTTTGTTCTGCCCTAGCGCCCAGTCGCCAGATTCACTTCCAAGTGCACCAGCACCATAGTTAATGTGTGTTTTTCTCTCTTTTTCCCCTCGATGGTTCATTGTTGTTAGTTTTGTTATATGTCAGTAAATCACGTTGTATTGTGCTTGTAGTGCTTTATTCGACAGGGCAGTTATTTCATTGATACTGTTTTCTTCGTGATCTATTAGTGACTAGTATTTTCTCACTTATTATTTTAATTTTATAAATCTCATAAAATAAGACTTCCCTGTGGGGAGCGGAAAGGTTGTGGATATTCTTGAGTTGCATATGTGTGTGCCTCTGAATTACGCTAGAGTGTGAGAGCGTGTGAGTTCGCTTTATGTTGTTCTAGATTCAAAGTTTCTATGGGTTTTGCGGACGGAATACAAATGCGTCGACTGGCGTCGACTGGCGCCGCCGTCGAGCCACCGGGTCCTCCTTAATGACGTCATCTGGAGCATGGAACAGCGGGCGGGACGAGACGACTTCCGAAAAACGTCCTACATCCTTATACCTACTCTATCTTGCTGTCATGCCACCCCCACGCTCAACATACCTAGCTATTCTCTGATATGTTGAGGAGAACATCATGTTCTGAACAAATTTAAAAAAATATAAATAAATATCAAACTAACCACAAAATATGAATGAACATTATTCATTTCACATAAGTTGAAACAGAATCCGAGTTCTTTTTGCTTGGCCTTTTTTATTGTAAAAATTCCCATCCGAGTCAAAGTTAAAAGTGGAATTGTTATACGTTATCGCAGCAATCGTGCAATGAAGAAGGCGGCAGTGGTTTAAGGCAAACTTCTTAGCCGCCCTCACGAAGTGGCAAGCACGCAAAGACGTCGAATTGCGCTTCCGGGTCGGAAAACTCGTCGCGTCTCCGTCTGAAATTGAAATGTAAATATGGGTTATACTTTGCGCGCCACCGCCGCCGAGCATTGTTATCCTTGAATAATAAAAAGTAAGCCTCGTCGTCGTCGATGACAATGAGCATGACGATGACGATGACACCAATAAAATATTTTTTTCTTCACCAAAACAAATTTCGAATGCAAAACACGAACGAGGAATAAAAATCAAAGTGAACAAGTCAAGATTTCTTCAAAATATTACCTAGGTGAAATCAAGTATAGTCTGATTCTGTTTTGGTCAGAAATTGGCAATGTGTTGACATTATCACCATCTGCATCAACATTAATTCACTTACCATACCACTTCTCATATATTTATATAAACTAGTGCACATTATTCTTGTATGTGTACTGAAACTTTCTTTTTTCGAATCGTCCGCTTTACTTTCGGCAAGTTTTATTTTCTCATTTGTGTTTGTATGCGTGCGGGGGCGCTGTGTGCTTCCTTACCGTTTGTCTGAATGGACGACTTCCCGTCTCTGGAGTCGGTCTGTCGCGAAACTTTATTTACCGCATCCTCGCGATGTCGTTTCATTTTTCAAGTAAACTTTTTTCCTGCCCGCACTTCACCCGCAGAGGCAACTATAAAATGTTCACAACAAAACTTGCTTAGTTTCAAGGCGTAGTCTCGTATTTCTCGAATTACGCAAATTTGAATAAATTGTCAATGAGTAAAAAATTTAGTTATTTTCTTTTAATTTTATTGCATATTAAAATCAATGAACTTTTAATATGAAATAAAGTCAAATGTCAAATTTTACTTTTTCAAAACCACGATTTTTATCTTCAAAGCTGAATTATAACCAGGATTATTTTATTCTTAAATTATTTCAATTTTAATAAATTCCCAATGCGTAAAAATTTAATTTCTCTTCTGGCGTCCCAGAAATAATATCCGTGTATTATTGTATAATTTGTATATTTTTGTTTACAATCGGTCTTGTTTTTGGCGTGTCTTGTTGTTGTGCTGGCAGCAAGATCGGCGGTAATAAAGCGCGACGGTTTTTTACCCCTTAGGAGAAGAATACCGACGCCAACGAACCAAAAGACTAAGGTTGATATGCATAATACCGTGATACAATGCAATTTATATTCAGCATCCTTTCCCGAAACCTTTCCACCAGGCTCGCTGCTATGTACCCGCCACGCTAAGGATGTGCGAGACCCCGAAAAAGAAAGCACTGCCTCCGGCGACGTTAGCGTCGCCTCACTCGTATTGTCGAATGAAGTACGAGGAGCACAACAAGAGGGAAACACCAAGCAAGCAACTACACAAGCCGGATGATCTTGTTAACGATTTCTTTTTGTCTGCTTTAATTAGTCCGTTGCAAAGCGTGTTTTTACTCTCAAAAATTGCTTATGCGAAAAGCGCGCTTGATATACTGGTGCATGTTAACATATCACCACATGAGGAATTGATTGCGATTAGTCTTCTCCTCACGCACGCATCTTTTCATGAAAATGATAATTCTTGCTTGGCAAACATCAACTCTGTTTGCATATCCATCGCGTGCGCCTTTCGAGTTCCTATTTCGGGGCGAGGATCGTGGAATCGCACCGCGAGCAGAGTGAATTTTATTAGATTCGGCTAGCGTTTAATTCGCATCACGTCCCATCGCAGACATCTATATGGCGTGTGGGCTCTGCGCGCAATTCTCCACTTCGCCGTTTTTGACGAGATGCAGGATGTGCCCAACGAGGTACCAAGAAACGAATGGCGCCATGTGTTTGCATCGTGCAAATCTTGCACTCTAAGCGGCGCCCCGAAAATCTCGCCGAGTTTAGAAGAGTCCTAAAAGATCCTTCAGATCGAGCATCTCAATGTGTTCACGAACGTGGTGGGATTATTCTCGAATGCAGTTTGTTGCGGTTCCTATCTAATACGGCGAACGTGCCATCGAATGCCGAATTTTGAATTCGGAAATTCAGCTTCGGTATAAATGTCAAGTGTGGTTGGTTTTCAATTAAATGCAAATCGTATTTTTATTTTGGCAATTTAATATATTTCAATCCTTGCCGCTTAAAGCTGTCACCTCTCAATAGAGACACGTTTTTAACGAACGTTTCGTGTTGCTCCTTCATCACCTCGTTCAATGAAGCCTTTCACACTTTCAGTTTACATACAATCTTCTGCGTTAGCATCGAACCTTTGTGTGCTTGCTCGGGAGGCGAAAGTGTCGACGTGACGACGTAAAAAATGCGGTGAAATTTTAATAACGAATGATTTATGCGCCTAATGTGCTGGCACACGGCGCACACAGGTGTCGACGACACTTTCTTACCGCCGCCGATTTTCCGTTAAGCGTTTGCGGTGCGTTTTCCTAACCCTAAATTGTTGTTCCGCTTTTCATCAACTTCTAGTTGCAAAATCGCAATTTTTGACATAACTTTACTAATTTTGATTAAATTTTGACAAATATAAACAAAAAATATACTCATATTAATTTTGGTAATAGTAATTCTGGTTCACGTTTGTGCCGTAGTGGATTTACTCCTAATAGAACCCGAAAGCGAATAACGGAGGCCTACCCACTTTCTGTCGCCGCTCGCGGATTCCTTTATTAATTCCCCGGCTGTACGCAGTCCTTCTCGCAAGAAGCACAATAAGCGGCACGGCCCAGGGCCCTAAAATGTATCGACGGATGATTAATCGGCACAAAGCGGCGAAAATGGTGCGGCAATAACGCGCCGAAGACACTGGGAGATTCTATTAATGTAAATGTGCCCCATGTTCCACACGCAATCGTGCCTCTATCTCCAAAGGAACAGTCCTAAGAAGACCCGTTCTAACAACGTTTGATAATAATTCCCACTTGCCTTTTCTCTATGTAGGTGGAACGAGGTAAATTGGCGAACACGTAAAAATTTTCAGGCAAACTATGCCTAATTTGTATTGATCTGCTTAGTAAGCAAGTAAGTTACTTGACTAAGCTGGCAGACTGGTAATTCGTAGAAGTTGGATAAAACTCTTTGAAAAGTGCGCGACTTTCACTTAGTTTGTAAAGCGAGGCGATATAAAAATAAAACCGTAGAGGCCGAAAATAAAAGGGAATGTGTTGCTGAACTTAACAGCGAGGGGAAGCGAACGTTGTCGGAAGCAAATGTATAGTATATAAAGTTACAATTCAATCAATCAGTGAGGGATTTGCACGAAAAGCTGGTCGGGGCTTACCGGTGCGTCAAGAAGAGGATACTTTTTTCAGCAGTGCTGAATTTCGCCCTGGCTCTGGCTTATACTGTTTGTTTAGAGTAAACCGAAATTGCCATCAAAATTCTGAAATGGAATTCAATAGAAGCCATATGAATTTAATTTATTAACCAAAAGCTTCCTACACTGAAAAACATGTTTTCTCTTTGGAATCAGGCCCTGAAAACCCTGATAAAAACCATAAATATTGATTTTTATCATATCAAGCTCAAGGTTAACAACCTAGGTTAGTTTCACATTTACAAAATATCAACTTATACAACAACTAAATACAGTTTAATAACATCACTCTTGGTTTTGATCACATTGTTATTACACCCACACATTTTTCTGATACCTTTGATAACGCATTTTATCATCAAAAGGATGAATCCCAGCAAAACTACGATTACCAAAGCAAGAGCCGCCAACACATCCAAGTAATAATACTGATAGAAAGGAATAGTTGGTCCCTTCAGATGCTGAGCGCCTTTGTGCCTAAGGACATACTCAATCCACCAAACAGCTCGTTCCAAGGGCTTCATCGGCTCATCCTGCACTATGCCAGCATAATGCTTTAGTGCGTTGCGGTAAGACGGATTAGTGATAACTTCGTTGATGGCGGTCTTGAAGTTCGCCACATTGAGGTTATAACGGTCCAGGACTAGGCCTAGTCCCTTCTGTTTTAATTTTTCAGCGTTTGGTAATTGATCGCCGAAGAATGGTATTACAATCATTGGGACGTGGGAGTAGAAGGCTTCCTCCAATGATTGAATTCCGCCTTGGGTTATAAAACATTTTATGTTTTTGTGTCCTTGAAAAAACAATTAGATACAATTTGAAATACAATTTAGAGGCAATAATACTTAATATGTCTTGTTGAGGTGCCCATTTGATCAACTTGACGTTATCAGGCTTTCCTGGTAGAGTATCACCTTCATATTTATATAATACTTTGAAGGGTACTTGAGACAGTGTTTCGATAAAGACCTTTCGCAGTTCCTCAGATAATTCATTACTTTTTACATTGGTGCCTAGACTGAAGTAAATGACACCTTCTTTGGCACTATCCAAATAATCTTTCAAATCCTGAAAGAAAAATAATTGTAAGTTTTTAAAGATTAAGTGTTTTTTTTTAATACTTTTGGCAAAGGCATTGGCGGTTTCATATGTAACCCAGCTACGGAAATAGTACTCGGTGTATGCGGTCTAACCGGAATGAAAACCGGATTGGTATTAACAAACAGCATATCAGTACTTTCAAAACTCTCCATCACATCTTCAGCAGTTTGATTAAACGAATCCCTAGCCACTGTATCCATGGCCTTGATCAAAGGCTTGTAATAGACGATGAGTTCAAATACGTTTCCTAATCCAATTGCCATGATTCTCTCAAGAAATGACAAGTTATCGGGTTTTGGTAGAAGCTGTGTTGGATACAACACAGAATGCACAGCATTACCCATAATTCTATGCGAGTTAGCCATGGCATCAAATGAAACAACACCAATCACAGGACAATTATACTTTTTCTTAAATGCGAAGAATGGCGAGAGCATATGTTCGACTATCAACAGGTCAAAGTGCTGCGACTTGTCATGGATCAGCTCTTGAACTTGCGGTAGACCCACGGTTTGATTCATCATCTCCAAAACCCTTTCCGCCCAATCAGTTTTGAACATCAAATCCACAAAGGTGCCGTTTATCAGCATATCCATGGCTTTTTTGAATGAGGCGTAGGTTTCATGGGTGTTGATTTCCTTGAAATTGGGAAGCTTTTCGTTGGTTGGGTCAGAGGTGATGACCACGACGTCGTGACCGCGGATAGCCAACTCGCGCCATAACGGTTGGAAGAACACTTGATGGCTGTAGGAAGGATTTCCTATAATGCAGAGTATTCGCGCGGAGTGGACATTTTGTACAATTGTGAACACTGTCAATATTAACACTAATATTTTATTCATTTTGATATATTTATTGATAGAACGATTAGATTGGTACTAAGGTGCGTTCCGTGGGTGTGGGACTAGGGAACTTATCGATTTTTGAACATTTCAAGATTAGATACGCGTTAGTTAAATATAAATATTAAACTTCACCTATGTTTATTATAACACATTTTTAACATCTACATTCTATAACCTAGATGCGAACGCGCCGACTGCGTAATATTGACTGGTGGCAGCAAGCGAGCTGTTGCTACAAAGACCTTGGGCACAGGTTATATTTACGTAGTACATCCTGTTGTGGTGCCCATTTTGTAATCTTGACGTTATCAGGTTTGTTTGATAACACATCATTTTCAAATTTCCATAGAATTTTATATGGAAGTTGAGAAAATGTAACCCAATTATTATTTCTTGAAGAGTTTTGGACAATTCGTTTATAAACGTTAGGCTAAAATAAATAACATAGCTTCTTTGGCAGCATCAAAATTGTTTCAACTCAAAAATGGTTGTTGTTGTTTTGTAAGAGTAGTTTACGATCGAGATGTTTGGTAGGTAACGTCTTGTGGTGATATAAGTTTTGTTTTGTTGCAATTGTTTGTAACACTTCCGCATAAACGTTTTCATTGCTCGCACACTACAAACTTTTTATCGGCCGATAAAACATTCAACAACTTAACCCTTTGAAAATCTCCATTCGTTTGTATGCCGCTAGAGTATGAGAGACGGAAGATCCGGTCAACTCACTCGAACGCTTTATGACTGGCACGGAATGAATGGCAGCGCTCGAGATGAGACGGGAGATCGGTCCGTCTCTCGTTATAACGAGGAAGGGGGTATACCTGCGATCGACCTCGCTCGTGACAGTTTCTGGGCTTGGCAAACGATTTTAAAGACGTTATCACGTCAAAAAAAATTTCGTTAAATTTAAATTAAATTAAATTTAAAATGACTAAAATTACTTCTGGTAATGGCTTTGGTACACTAATGTGCATTCCTCCGGCGATTGAAATAGTACTAGGTGTATGTGGTCTTACTGCATTGAAAACAGGATTAGCATTCACAAACAACATGTCAGTGTCTTCAAAAATATCTTGAAGTGAAGGCATATCTTGACCAAAGTTGTCCCTTCCTATTTGATTCAAATCACCTAGAATATTATTAATCAGATAGTTGAATATGTTTCCAAAAACCACAACTGCCAGTCGTTCCAAAAACGATAAATTTTCCTGATATGGAAACATAGATGCCGGATACAACACACTATGAGTTGGGTTTCCCATAACACTATGTGATAATGGAAGTGAATCCATTGATGATACACCAATCATGGAACAATTAAACCGATGTTTGAATCCAAACATTGGAGACATGTAATGTTCAATTATCAATAAATCAAAATGCTCTGTTTTGTTATTGATGAGTTCTTGTATAGCTGGTATATTGAAGAAAGTATAATATAGATCCAGGGAGAGGTCACGCCATTTATTCTTTAGGAGAATATCAAATACAGATGAATTCACCATCATGTTGATAATTTGTTTCATTGGAATGTAGGTCTCTTTAGTGCTAATTTCTTTTATGTTTGGATAGTTGTCATTGGTAGGGTCCGTTGTAATTACCACCAAGTCATGACCTCTATCGGCGAGTTCCCTCCATAGAGGTCTAAAGAATATTTGATGACTATATGAAGGTGATGGTATAACAGTGAGAATTCTTGCTGAATAAGCCCATTGGACAAAAGTGGCAAATAAAATCACTAATATTATACGTGTCATAATATCGTGTTGAAAGTTTACGTTATATTGATAATAAACCGACACATTACACTCGAGAACTGCGATACGACTGATGCAAGCTGAACTGAACAATTTAGACGTGTAGCCATGAACACATTTCTAAAAATATTCACATGTACACAACTGCTGCAAGTTTATTAAATGTTTATTGTAGGCGGTTTCATCAATACATTAACATTCTTTAGTTTTAGTTTTTCTTAACTTTTTCTTTTTTAGTTGTTTTAGTTTTGTTGCATTTCATCAAACAACAAACACCTCTGCAAATATATTTAACACTAAGAATTAGTAATCCAATCAGAGTAGAAACGGTAGCACCCAGGACAAAAATAACATCTAAATAATAATATTGATAGAATGGAATTCTGGGACCCTTTAAGTGCTGTGCTCCTTTGTGTCTAAGAACGTATTCAATCCACCAAACTGCATTTTCCAGCGGCGTTCGTGGTGTGTCCTGAATTCGTATAGCCATTTGTTTGACTGTATTTCTGTAGCTTGGGTTTTCCATTACTTCAAAGATGGCTTTCTTGAAGTCCTCCACATTGAGGTTGTGTCTATCAAGCGCAACACCCATGCCTTTGCGATTTACTTTATCTGCGTTGGCTTCCTGATCACCAAAGAAGGGTAACACGACAACAGGCACATGAGAATATAATGACTCTTCGAGTGATTGAAGACCTCCTTGAGTAATAAACAATTTAACGTTTTTGTGTCCTAATAAAAAAGTTAGTAACAATTAATGTCTAGGAATCTAAAAAAATGTGTGACGGTTTTTACTTAAAACATCTTGTTGTGGAGCCCATTTTGTAATCATGACATTATCAGGTTTACCAGGCAGGTCATCGTTTTCAAATTTCCATAGAACAGGATATGGTACTTGAGCTAAAGTCTCCATAATAATTTTACGTAAATTCATGGACAGCTCATTGCTTCTCACATTACTACCAAGACTGAAGTATATGGCGCCATCTTTCGCATTATCCAAAAAGTCTTTTAAGTTCTAAATAGAAAATATGTTATTATATTATATCCATACATAAAATTTATAATTTTTTACCTTAGGAAGTGGCTTTTCAGCTTTCATGTGCATTCCTCCAGCGATTGAAATTGTACTAGGCGTATATGGCCTTACCTGACTGAACACAGGGTTTGCATTTACAAACAACATATCTGTCTTCTCAATAATATCTCCAATTGGAGGCATATCCTTTCCGAAATATTGCCTAGCCAAATCTGTATACATTCCAAAACTTGCATACTGCATGTAATTCACTACGACACCAAACATCAAAGCACCAATTCTTTGAACGAACGTAAAATCTTCTTGATATGGCAATATAGCCGACGGATATAAAATAAAATGATCCGCATTTCCCATTATCTCATGTGATACAGACATGGCATCCAATGACACTACACCAATCATAGAGCAATTAAAACGATATTGTAATCCGAAAGCTGGCGATGGAAAATGCTCAATAATTAGCAGATCAAAATGCTCCGATTTGTTATGGATTAGTTCTTGTATTTGCGGTAGATTAAATTGAAATTCAGTCAATGATATACTAACTTCTGCCCATTTATTCTCCCATATATTTTGTAGCATTGTGGTGTTGATCATTTCATCCAAAAACTTTTTCATAGTTGGATAGGATTCTTTGATGCCAATTTCTTTAAAGTTTGGGAGCACTTCATTAGTTGGGTCAGTTGTAATCACGACAACGTCATGACCTTTGATGGCTAGTTCTCTCCATAATGGTTGATAAAACATTTGATGACTGTAGGATGGAATCATGACCATGGCGAGAATTCGCTCGGAATTGACATTTTTGGTGACGAGAATCAAAGAAACCACTAGTAATATTAATTTGTGTAAAAACATTGTGTAATGAAATTGAGTAATTTAGGTTTAATTATATAAGTGAAACTGATTTCATTCATTTGGAAATGTTTGGTTTTATACTTATAATCATGATAAGATATCTCTAATCGATAAAAATGAACACGTGAAATTGTAACAATTACAGTGCATAGTAAAAGGGGAATATGATTGTCATGCTCAGCAAGTTTTGATTAAAATTCATTTATTTCGCAATATTTCATCCAATTCATGCAATTTCATTATTCGTAAGTACCTACTTAAAACTTGAAAGTAATTCACTTAGTTTTTAATTTTTCTTTTCTTGAACATTTCATCATACTGCAGAGTCCTTTGAGAGTCAATTTAACTATTACAAACAATAAAATAAGAATAACTACAAAGACACCCGCAATAAAAGCTAAAACATCCAAATAATAATACTGATACGCCGGAATTCTAGGTCCTTTCAAATGTTGTGCACCTTTGTGTCGCAATACATACTCGGTCCACCAAATAGCGTTCTCCAAAGGAGTCATTGGAGTGTCTTGAATTTCTTTTGCCAATCGCGTGACAGTGTTTTTATAAGCAGGATTCTCCAAAACATCCAAAATGGCTTTTTTGAAATCTTCCACGTTAAGGTTATGTCTGTCCACAATGCGTGCCATACCTTTAGACTTGGCTTTCAATGCGTTTGCTTGTTGATCTCCGAAAAACGGCATTATCACTAGTGGTACATGAGAGTATAGTGCTTCTTCTAAAGACTGAAGACCTCCTTGAGTGATGAAGAGTTTGATGTTCTTGTGTCCTTTAAAATAAAAATATTATTAGTTTAATTCAAAAATTAAAGAATATTAATATCTTACTTAAAATATCTTGTTGTGGAGCCCATTTTGTAATCATGACATTTGCTGGTTTACCTGGAAGGGTATCATTTTCAAATTTCCAAAGAATTTTGTAGGGAATTTGTTCTAAAGTCTTCATTATAGTTTGGCGCAAATCTGAAGACAATTCATTGCTTTTTACATTACTACCCAAACTGAAATAAATAGCTCCTTGGGTTGCACTGTCCAAAAACTTCTTCAAATCTTCAGGTAAAGCCTTAGGTGGTTTCATATGCATACCTCCAGCGATGGAAATAGTACTAGGCGTGTGTGGTCTTACAGGACTAAAGACTGGATTAGCATTTACAAACAACATATCTGTTCTCTCAAGAATCTCCGAAATAGATGGTGTGTCTTCTCCAAAAATACCTCTGTTCAATTTATCCAAATGCTCCACAGCTCCCAATTGCAAGTAATTAAATGCATTTCCAAATACAACAGACACCAATCTTTCAAAAAATGACAAATCTTCTTGATATGGAAAGAATGACATCGGATACAAAATAGAATGAACCGGGTTTCCCATTACTTCATGCGAATAAGTCAAAGCATCCAAAGAAACCACACCGATCATCGGACAGTTGAAACGATGTTGGAATGCTAATGCAGGTGTGATGAAATGTTCTATCATCAATAGATCAAAATGTTCCGACTTGTTATGGACAAGCTCTTGAACCTGTGGTAAATTCATTTGGAATTCACTCATCATCGTTGTCATTTCCGTCCATTTATCTTGAATCACAACTTGGAAAATACTAGTGTTTAACATTACTTTCATAAATTCTTTTGCGGGCCCATAGGATTCTTTCATGCTGATTTCTTTGAAGTTGGGAAGTACTTCATTGGTAGGATCTGTAGTGACCACGACTATGTCATGTCCACGGATAGCGAGTTCTCTCCATAATTGTTGATAAAACATTTGATGGCTGTATGATGGAGCCATGACCATTGCAAGAATTCGTTCGGAGTGCACATTTTCAGACACAAGTATTAATGATAACAACAGTATTATTAACTTCGACATTTTTAATTAAAGCACTTGATTAATTATCGTCAAATAATAACGTAACTGATATAGAATGATTAAAACCTTCTCGTTTTATACCTAAAGTATTTTAGTGATATGATAAGGTTTAAAATTTGAATGAATCGAGCACATTTTGTAATAAAACCACAAGTCTTGATGATTCTCACTTTTTCGTCAGTAATTTTTGTCTGGCGTGCACATTATTTGAGCGTGTAACAACAACTACTTACTTTTGAACATCAAAGCCTCGAGTTCCGCGCAGATCAGCATATGACCTCCGGAGGCGGGCCAGAACAAAAATATAATAGAAAAACCATTTTTGATCAATTAGGCAACAACCTACACGTGAGCTATAAATGGCATTGAAAATATTCGCATCGTCATTGATTTTAATGATAATAATTATACACTTGATGAATTACATTATAATGTTGTTGTTTTTATTAACGATATACATGACTATACAATTATTAATGATACTTTAATATCGTTTTATAAATTACTTCTTTTTGAGTTTCTCTTTCTTTGGAACTGTTACTTTACGGCAGAATATCAAAGAACAGACTTTGATTAACATTTTGACAATGACATACAGCAAGCCGAGAATAAGTAGAACAACAGTTCCAATAAAAGCCAACACATCCACATAGTAATACTGATACAATGGAATCTTGGGGCCTTTCAAATGTTGAGCACCTTTGTGTCTCAAAACATATTCAGTCCACCAGATTGCGTTTTCAAGCGGAGGCATTGGTGTGTCTTGAATTTCTGTCGCCAAACGCTTGATGGTAGCTCTATATATTGGATTCCTTATAACCTCTAATATGGATTCTTTGAAACTTTCAATTTTAAGGTTATGTCTGTCTACAACTAGTCCCAATCCTTTATTTCTGGCTTTCTCCGCGTTTGATGACTGATCACCGAAGAATGGCATTAGTACTAGTGGAACATGAGAAAACAATGATTCTTCTAAAGACTGAAGACCTCCTTGGGTGATGAACAAAATAACATTTTTGTGTCCTAGACAGAATTGAATAAAATATTAACATGCAATTATATTAAAAAATTGTTAATATTACTTAAAACATCTTGTTGAGGAGCCCATTTAGTAATCATGACATTATCAGGTTTACCAGGTAAATCATCAGCTTCAAACTTCCATAAAACTTTGTAGGGTAACTGAGCCAATGTGTCTATAATAGTTTGACGCAATTCTAAAGTCAATTCGTTGCTTTTTACATTACTCCCCAAACTGAAGTAAATAGCACCTTCTTTAGCACTATCCAAGAAATCTTTCAAATTTTTTGGTAAAGGTTTCACCGGAGTCATATGCATTCCACCAGCCAGAGAAATAGTACTAGGTGTATGAGGCCTCACAGGAGAAAAAATAGGGTTTGCATTAACAAACAGCATATCAGTCCTCTCAAATAACTCATCCATAGATGGGATATCCATTCCAAACAATTCTTTATTCAGCTCGTCTAATATCGGAATTGCTTTCATTTGCACATGATGAAATATATTGGCAAACACAACCGATATTACTCTTTGGAAGAAAGACATATTCTCATTATATGGAAACATTGCCGGCGGGTACAAAATAGAATGCACAGGATTTCCCATCATTTCATGTGATACCGGCAGTGCGTCCATCGAAATCACACCAATCATTGGACATTGGAAACGATGTTGGAATGCAACTACAGATGTAAAGAAATGCTCCACCATTAAAAGATCAAAGTGTTCAGTTTTATTATGAATAAGTTCTTGAATCTGCGGCAGTCTCAATTGGAATTCACTCAGAGCCGTTGACATTTCAGTGAACTTATCTTGTAGGATGATTTGAAATATACTGGTGTTGATCATCACATTCATGAACTCTTTCATTGGTGCGTAGGTTTCTTTAATGCTGATTTCTTTAAAGTTGGGAAGTACTTCATTAGTAGGATCTGTGGTGACCACCACGACGTCATGACCACGAATGGCTAGTTCTCTCCAGAATTGTTGAAAAAACACTTGATGGCTGTATGATGGAGCCATAACCATTCCCAAAATACGCGCGGAACTTGCATTATGTGACATAAATATCAAAGCAAACCCGAGTAATATTAATTTGGACATTATGAATAAAATTCAATTATGTGCAGTGACTCCAGTTGCTTTGAGAGTTTGGATTTTATACTTGAAAGAGCACTGTGATAAGATAATAGGAACTTGTGTAAAAGTAAACAGCATACTTGTAATATAGCCATGTCATTGAATAAAATTTACCAATATCATGATGATAAGATATTTATTATGCAATTATATGCGTTTCACATAAAATATTTGCCTGTAATTTAATGTTTCTTAAGTTTATCATTTTTGGTAACTTTTCTGTTACTGCAGTTAAAAAGCCCACACAACTTTTTGATAGAATATTTAACTATGACAAATAATAAACCGCAAATAATTAGAAAAATGCTTCCAATAGCAGTTAAAACATCTAAATAGTAATATTGGTAAAAGGGAATTCTAGGTCCTTTCAAATGCTGTGCTCCTTTATGCCTTAAAACATACTCGGTCCACCAAACAGCTCTTTCCAAGGGTGTTGTTGGAGTGTCTTGGATTTGCTTTGCATATTTTGTGACCACATTCCTATACGATGGATTCTCCATGACATCCATGATAGCGGTTTTAAAATCATCAACTTTAAGGTTATGTCTATCCACTACTAAACCCAATCCTTTGTTTTTTACTTTCTGGGCGTTGGATAACTGATCAGCAAAGAATGGCATGACTACTAGTGGAACATGTGAATATAAAGATTCTTCTAATGATTGAAGTCCTCCTTGGGTAATAAACATTTTAACATTTTTATGTCCTGAAAATAGAATATTGTAAAATTGGTATTATTTTACTAAAAAAGTTATTATTATTATTATTACTTAGAATATCTTGTTGAGGTGCCCATTTTGTAATCATGACATGTGCTGGTTTGCCAGGAAGAGAATCATCTTCGAATTTCCAAAGAATTTTGTACGGAATTTGAGCTAAAGTACTCATAATGGTTTCTCGTAATTCTGGAGTCAATTCATTGCTTTTTACATTACTACCCAAACTGAAATAAATTGCACCTTCTTTAGCACTATCCAAAAAATCTTTCAAATTTTTTGGTAAAGGTTTCTCTGGTTTTAAATGCATTCCACCGGCGAGAGAAATAGTGCTTGGTGAAAATGGTCTTATTGCACTAAAAACTGGATTAGTATTCACAAATAACATATCAGTTCTTTCAAGAATATCCAATAGGGATGGAGTGTCCTGTCCAAAACTTTCCCTGGTTAATTCGTCTATTTTAGGCACAGCTCTTGCTTGTAACGTATTGAATAAATTCCCTATGACCACCGACATCATTCTATTAAGAAAAGACGTATTTTCATCACTTGCAAATAACGATGATGGGTACAAAACAGAATGCGTCGGGTTCCCCATCAATTCATGTGATACCTCCATGCCATCAAACGAACTCAAGCTAATCATCGGGCAGTTGAAACGATGTTGGAAGGCTAAAGCTGGCGTCATGGAATATTCAATCATCAACAAATCAAAATGTTCCGATTTATTTTGAATGAGTTCTTGAACTTTTGGTAGTTCTATTTGAAATCTGTTTACAGACAGTTGTAGATCACTCCATTTATCTTTCAAGAGAATTTCGATTAGGCTGGTGTTGATCATCAAATTTCTTACGTCTTTCATTAGGCCATAGGATTCATGAATACTGATTTCTTTAAAGTTTGGTAGAACTTCATTAGTTGGATCGGTGGTCATAACAACAACATCATGTCCACGAATGGCAAGCTCCCTCCATAACGGTTGGAAAAACATCTGATGACTGTAAGATGCAGTCATGACCACGGCAAGAATTCGTTCAGAATTAACATTTTGTAGAAAAATTGACAGCAATAACACTGATGCAAATAACTTCAACATTTTTATGTTTTTGATGTTTTACCGTATTAATTTTATGATTATCACGGTGAATGACTGGTGAGAATTGGATGAACTAGGCATATTTATGCCTCAGCAAAAATCATTACTGATAAGATAATCCTCACACTCGAAAAACGAAAAAACACTTCTAACGATATAAATTCAGTTCAATTTCAGTGTGTACCACAATTGTTTTCTACTTGAATTTGGCCAAACGTACGTCGGCAGCGGCTGGAAACCAATGACATGTAAATGTATACTGTTTTTGCCAAGCTCACGTTACATGGATATCTTTACATCGTTGCATTGCAATGCAACGCAGAACGGCGGCGGCGAGAGGTTTTGCGGGCTCGTCGAAGAGAATACTTTCAGCGGACGCACACTACGATTACCCGTTGCGGCTGCCTGTGACCGTAAAGCTTTCATTAGAATATTATCAGCGGACGAGCAAACGAACAAACTTTGCGTACTAAATCACGCTTTAAAAACGATGCAACTCTGCCAACTAAACAAATAAAAGTCGCCAGTAAATGCCACCAAAAAACTTCAATGTGCTGAAAATTTCCAACTCAACAAAATAACGTATTTGATAATTATGAAGTATTGTTCTAGTGTAATACGTAAAATCATTATGTGGTTGTCTAATTCATTGACGCGTCAAATCCACGCAAACCGTCGTCACACCCACGTATTAGCGACTGGACTGATTTTTTGTCCACTCTGGAGCTTAATTCAGTTTCATCGGTGCGCGGCGCAGCGTCTAGACGATTAATTTTAATTCATCGGAACGTTTTAATCCAAAGTATATACAAACATTGCCATTGCAAATATGCGACAAACGGGAATGGGTCTGGATTTTTTGCTCGCCATGTCCACACTTCAGAGATTCCTGCTGCGATTGCTTGAGACATATTTAATACACGCAATTATACAAGACGTTGTAATTCCAAGACTTCAATTACTTGTGTACATATTGATCCAGCTAAGGAAAACTCCTCATACGTATTGACATGCCAAATTGCTATTAATTATTTTATCAAAATGAATAATTAATTTTTGTAATCTGAACATGCGTGGCGATTTTAGGTGTGAACAATAATTTTAAGCAAACACTTGCGCGGCTGGGCGCTTTGCATTAAATATTTTATAATGAAAAAATTGTGCGTGTTGGTTATGTTGTGTGTGCTTATGCTATTCTGTATTTTGTACGAAATAAAAACGCACGCGGTGCGCCACAATAATTAAAAAAGCTTTTGTGGGCGAGCCGCGCGTTTTGTTTACTTTTGGCGAGGCATATTCACCAGGGAAAGAGCAAGGGTAGATCTAATTATGGAGAATGATGTACGCAATTTGCTGGAAAAATATTGCATAAACGCTGTGGCCATACTTATATTCCTCGCATGTCCACCAAAAAATATATCAAAGAATTTGTTGACAAAACGTGAAAAAATAGAGTTGCATTACATTTACATGCTCGGACGAATAAAGATTTTGTTAGGAATATCTTTGCATAATCAAATTTAACGTAAAATTGCATCTTGATAAAAGCAAAAATCTAGGATACACTCAATGTCGGTGAGTTGGTCAGTCAAGTCACTAAACTGGTGTTCAGTGTCTCGCGTCCAGTGTCTAGGCAGTAAAAAATTCAATTGTATTGATGGAAAAAGCAATCAATTGCTCTAGTGCACTCGCGCTCGGCGCCGATAAATCTTTAAAGTCATTTTTTATTTCGTTTCGTGCGCCGCGACCGGTAGTCGTCCTGTTCACGAGTACATTTCGCTCTCTAAAGCATCGGATAGTTGACACAGGTACAAGTGCACAACACAAGCCTCTACACATTTTACTTCTTTGTATGTTTAGATACCTGCATGTGAATATATCGGTATTTTACGATACAAATGTTGCAATTTTCAATGTGCTTTCAATTTAAATAAAAAACATTTTAACATAATAAAATATTTTAGTTTTAATTTTGTGCCTTAGGTGCCTCAATAAAAAATAAATTTACATTTGAGTGAGTTCCAAATAAAAAAGAAAGTGAAACGTAAAATATGTTTTTGTGCTTCGCGCTGATCGTTTCCCGAAGATTCGGATGATTTGTGCCGCGCTTATTCATTTCTCACGCGGCAGTCAGTCAGTCACTCTTTAGGGAATTTGCGCTCTTTTTACGACGCGCCTCTTTAATATTCGCAGCAATTTGGCAGCAATTCAGAAAAATTTACGTATAAACCACAACAGAACGACGTGCGCGCTGCGCTGCAAAAGAAGCCGAGGAAAAAAAGACGTGCAAAAGAAAAAGCTCTGAGTAAAAAGTAGACGCGCGCACTGCAAAGCATATTTTGTTGCGCTCCTCGTCGCTCTATTCCCACATCTTTAGCATTTAAATGACGCACATAATAAAAGTATAAAAATATATAAAAATGAAAATAAAAGTGCACAAATGCTGATGCCAGGCTCTCGCGAAAGGAAAATGCAAAACGGTGTTATCACACGGCTTGAATCCCACGCGAAAAGCGAAAAACGAAAGCAAACGATAATTTAAATCTTCAACTGAAAACAAGATCGAACAAAATGTGTTAAAGTTAAAAGAAGAACGAAAAACTTTGAGTGTTTTATGGAGGAATTGATTGATTTTCAACCTGAAATGATTTCGTACGCTTGACGATTTCAGGAAAATTTTTGTTTTGTATTTTTTAAGTTACTAAAATATTTCTACATTTCGAAAAAATACTACTTGGGTATGAATGCCTCTTCTGCGTTTGTCGCGTGCAAGCATTCTTTGGTTTATTCTTCTTTCGCCTTTAGTTTTTGCACTTGCAATAGAGTAATATTTACAACATTATAAAACTAACGCCACAGGCAGATTCCGAGGTCGTGGTTTCTTGCTGTGTGCTTGCTGCAACCCAGCAAATGCAAACAAGAGAATAAACTACACCAGAAACCCACACAACTTGTTCTTAGTCTCTTTTTAGATTAGAAAAAGTTTCGTCATAAATATCTACAAATAAAACTACAATAGTGAAAAATTAAGTTTTGCTGTATTTAATTTGAAATAATAAAAATTTATAACAAGTGGGAATAAACGCACTGTATGTGCATTTGTTTAGTTTTATGGAAAAATATAAGATGACAATAAATACGAGGTGAATGCGAGCGAATGCTTGGAACTGCCAGGCGAATAGCTCGGATGAGTTGTGCGAGGTTCTTCCGATACCAATAGCGAACTTATCGTAAAAAATTTTAATCTCGCTTCGTCGTCCTCAATAATTTTCCGTCTCCAGCCACAAAGTTAAGTCTAAAGAGATATGAAACTATAAAAATAAAATTGTGATTGCTTTCAAAATTTCCGTTTTATTGATTTTCAATTATTATTATACTCATACAAACTGAAACTGTGAAACATAATTTGACTTAGGTGCTGCAAACATTTCCGCATCTATAAAATATATAACCAAATACATAATACATGTATTGTATTGTGTTAATGTAAACCATCATTAACAATTAGTCCTTTCTTGTGATGATAGAGTTGTGCAACAACAGCGCGCTGTGAATGACGTTTTGTGTCAGGAATGACGAGTGACGAGGACATCAGTTGCAAGACAAACAAGCATATTATTATTATTATGTACTAAAGAGAGAATAGATTTAACAACGTTTAGTCACGTGATGTTTATGGTATTTTTTTATATCTACAAATGCGCATGCGCAAGCTCCACCCCGTGACTAAAGCTCGTGACTAAAATACTTTAGTCACGGCTTTGCCCGTCCGTGTTTAAAATACCAATTTTTGTGTCTCAAAACCGTGCAATACTGGCGTTTTAAAGGTGGAGGTAGAAAAAATACATAAACAGATAAAAATCAGAACCATAGATGAAGTTTATAAAAATTGTTAATATTTAATACTTAATAATATGTTCACTATTAGTTATTCCTGATAAAAAAACTCAAATTAAATCGCAAATTGCAAACATCAACTTCGACATTTGTTGCGAAACAATGACGAAGGGAGGTTAATTAGATTGGAAAGTAATTAGTAACGAAATAAGCATTGCCACTGGCAACCAAGGCGACTGCAGACCCAGCGAACACAAACAAAATTATTACGTTTCAATTGATTTCCCAAACAAATAACGCTAGTTTATCAAAACGTTATATATTTCCGCACCAATATCAAATCACACTATTCGATGCCAAACGAGCACAAAATTATATTATTTATTAAATTGCAATCAAACAATTCACTAATAATATGCAAATAAACAAATACTGTAATAGAATTTATCAGACGCAATTGAATGAAGTTGTAATGTGCACAAACAGAGTTATGAATATTTAAGTGATGTGTTTGATAGCAGTTGGTATATTTATGGTAACAATTCGTTTCGCTTGGTAGGCGACGGCAATTGCGAATGTGGTCGCTGGCGTTTGTTTGTTGTTTCTGTCGCGCGATTCGCGGCGCGCACCAAAACCACCCTCTCGCTCCATTTGTGCAAAACTTTACTTAGTAGCTAATTGAAAACTAAATTCCGAACGAGGCAGCGTGCGCGCGCGCCCGCGTTATTCATTCATTAATTCTGCGTTTGTGACTTCACACGCGCACAGCTTTATATCTTTCAGAAAAGTTCACACCCTGTGCGAACTGCGCAAAGTTTGGAAATTTCCTAATTTGTTAGCACCTCAACTGAGTGTAGTTTAATTCATTTCGATTTATGACGCTTGTCATAAATTCATAACACTTGATTTAACATCTTGTTAAGAGTTTTAACATTTTTTAAAATGTTTTTCTGTTGATTCAGTTCTTCCTGTCACATTTGATGTTGTGAAAGTGTTAACGTATGTCACAGTGTATTGCCTGTCACGTCGCACATCTAACCCTTACCCGTTTCTGTTGTTTCTTTTTTCGGGCAGCTTTGCGCGAATAAAATAACGCTTTAGTATTCGCACATTCGCTGGCGTGCTGTTCTGTTGTGTCGATGCGATGCGGGCGACTTTTATGACGATTATTAAAATACGAGGGACGCTCCAGCGCGTTTATAATGGAAGCGTTCGC